GATACAAGTCTTTGAATAAAAGTATTTACACAGTTCTTCCACTAATTCCAGTTGCGGGTCATGTGTTCAAGCGTGTTAAGCCACTGGCACTCCTCATCCTTGGGTCCCCGTACAGGGTCCAACAGCTGCTAGACGTAACGTCAGCGATCCCATGTGCTGTCGCTAGGTGGAAAGATGACAGCTACGAAATCACCTCCAGCCAGACACTGAACTAGCGAATATAGCGCAGCGTGGAAGTTGCCCAGGCGCCATGCGTAGAAAGTGACCGGTCCATCTCAACTGATGCGGCAAAACCAGCTTGTCAACATTCCCAGAAGGCAACTAACATTATCATTAACGACCCGAATTGTCCGCGATTTTGCAAAATGCAGAAAAAGTGCGGAATTTTCTAACTCTCGTGGAAAATGTAAAATTTCGCGGAATCGCGGAAAAATGAAAATACATAAAAAGCTACTCTGAATGCGTTTTCGTTGGATTCAATATATTTGTATTCGGATGAAATGCCAAAGCAGGTAGCTGGTTATTGGAACATTTCTTTGGAGTAACAGCACCGCTCATCTGCTATCCAAATCCGCTTGTTCCCAGACCCAAGTGTCACCTATGCATCTATCCATTAAGCAACCTGTCTGCCAACCTTGTGTACTAATTCTATCGTCCAGTATACAAACATTCTTTGCTCACGTGTACATTAAACCTATTCGACATCTGTTCGGTCACATCTTTTGCGCATGCCTGGCCGGCACAAACCGCCCCCATTACAGTCACCCGTGAACTTGATGCGCTGTTTCCTCTTAGGCGTTGAACAGCGGCCATCAAGTTGCATAGCACTCGGCGGCGCAATATAAGCGGCCGTATTAACATGCTGAAAGGCTGAAGTCGTCGTTATCTGTCAAGATAGCGGCGAGAACGGTGCTTTGTACTCTCGTTGAGTACTTCGTGAAGAAACTGATGTTGAGGTTTGTCATTACTGAGTTTTCATCTTCCTTTGAATAGTAGTCCAGTCTCGGCTTCGTTTTTGTTTGACGCACTACTGGAGAACCAAGCGAATCCGTTGTTTACAAAAATCAACGGGTTTTATCTTTTGCAGATGTCATCTCAGAGAAAGAAACAGTACGCAGGAGGAAAAATTGCCCTGGACAGAGTGGTGTTTTCTGGAGAATAATACGTCGATAACGCGGAAAACACGGTTGTTTTGTTCATCGTGTGAAGTGACTGTGAATCCATCTCGAAAATCAACCGTGTTTAACCATATTCGCAATCAGAAGCGTGTTCAAAAGAAAGCTAACGATGAGGAGCAAGCAGCTAAACCTGTTGCCAGGGGAAACCAGCTCCGAAGATAGTGCGACAAGCAAGAATAGTTAGTCCCATCGTCGTTGCAAATGCTACCCAGGAAATCTGCGGCACAGTGGTATCTGACTTTCTACTTGCTATGGCATCTGTGAATATTCCTCTAAAGATGACCGACAACCAACAGTTGAGGGAATTTATTCATAGAAACGTACGAAATGGCAAAAGCATTGCCAGATCTGAAGCGCTACGTCGGAAAATTCCCCAACTCTAAGGAAAAGATAACCAGATATTGAAGGAGATGTTCTGTGATACCTTTGTCAACGTTATAACAGACTAAACAACTGATGATCGCGGGAATATGGAACTACACATCCTGTTATGCGCACCATTGAAGTCCAACAAGGAGTCTCCAAGCATACTCCATCGACACGGTCAGTATGGAGAGAGTCAGTTCTGACACGGTTGTAGGAGCCATTCTACGCAGCTTAACAAGGATGGGTATAGAGTTCAGTCGTGTGACGGCCTTCGTGCCCGATGGCGCTAGGTATATGACAACATGCTACCAAATTGTCCTTAGGCCTGTTTGTGAGGATTCAGTTCACATCAGGTGTGTTGTCCATTGCATCAATTTGATTAGAGAGGCCATTCGCAAATTCTTTCTGAAAGTCGACAAATTCGTTGCAAAAATAAAAAGTGCTTTTCGTCTTTCGTGAAGTTAGAGGTGTGTCTACATGGAGTAGCTAACTCAGGAACGCGTGGATAATCTAACCAGCCAGTCATCACCAAATGGAAGCTGTCGCACATCACAACAAGTATTTCCATCATTACCCAGCCATGTTACAAACTGTACAACGAGTTTGGGGACTCAGCTGGTGTTTGTGAACTGGTGGATGTTCTAACCAGGAGAACATCACGAAAGGCTTTGATATGGCAACTGCATTGTATTATGAAGAACATGACCCGCCATCTGAAAACTGCTGAATCACAGTCTCCGGTAATCCATAAGACTTACAACGACCTTTCCGATCTATCCATGTCGATGAAAACTGCCGCTGACCATTTGCTGGCAGAGACACTCAATTTTACTGCGTCCAGCAAAACTCAAACTGACATGAAACTCTGCTTATCCAAAACTGCCATAAAAGCCCAAGAGTTGCTGACATCAGAGGCTAGCTGGCCGTTTTTGAAAGCCATTGGATTGCTCGACTCCAAACAGCTCAGCAACTTGGCCAATGATCCATGCAACTATGCCGATGTTCCAGTCCTGGTTAGTTTCCCAGCTCTGGCAGCCAAATGGTTAATCTATCGAAAAGTGGTGGAAGAACTTCAAAGAGTGAGATGTGAAGACACACTGACCTTCTCGTGCGGGATGCATGAAAGAACTCCACAACTGGCAGCCAACGAAGGCCGTTATCTATGTATTCCCGTGAATTCGGTAGATGCTGAATGGAGCTTTAGTGCATAAAAATATTGCGTCTGACAAACGTCACAACCTTTCAGACAGTAGCACTAAACACCTTGTTAGGCCTTAATTTAATTCCTCTGTTTTGAATCATGATTGACATAAATATAGTGGATGAAGGTGTCTTGATTTCTGTTTATTTTTGTTTTCGCGGTGAAATCGCGGAATTCAATATTTGCGTTGCAGAGATTTCGCGGAATTTTTGATTTCGATCGCGAAGAACAGGTTTCACCATCGCGGAAAATTCGTGTCTTTAATCATCACTGACAAGTCGGTGTTGCCACCACATGAATAATGCTCCTCAAACAACCGCTGTCGAAGACGGAAAGACGACGCATGTCCATCACGTGAAATGGCCAAAATCCGGTCCCACACAACAATGCTGAACGAGAGGAGGCACTGTAAACGCCGTGCCTTATCGAAATGGAGATGTCCCGACGACCGCCACAAGTGTCTCAGATTGACAAATGCTGACTAGGCTTTACCAATGCGAATAGAAACCTACTTGTTAGTTATATATTACCAGCAGAAACATAACTCACAAGGTACACGAAACTGTCTCCATCTCCAAAGCACGCTCAGATCAGAAAGCTTCGCGATTTCCAAGCAGGCTTTGCTTGAGCTGCCAATCCGCAGAGCGGCGCTTCTCGCTGCAATCTTATTCGGTTGGGATATTTCTGCAGCGAGCACAGATCCAAGCCTTCAAGAAACGTAAAGCGAGATCGCAGCCTGATTGTCCGGAAGTGATCATCGTCTCCCGTATATAAATTCAGTAATACGCAATGTCCTGCGTTAAAATGCAAGTGAGTGTGTCTGTCAGTGAAGTCTGGTAGCTAGCCTGGACCGAGGAATCAGCTAATCTGTTCACATCAATTCTGTGGTGCTTCGTTTCTCGAGCCCCGCAAAACAGATGCAGATTTTCGCAATGACCAGTGCAGGATCTGAGTCAATGAAAGTGGATAAAAAATCTGCAGTCGCGTACCTTATCCAGTTATCTGAAGTTAAATTTAATGTGACCAATTTGAGACGACGCCTGTGTTGGCGAAGAGATACGCCAAGTCGGGGAACATTTCTTCGTATACCTGGAGTTGGTGCTCGAGATAAACTGATGGTTTTCTTAGCACAATGTGATAAGTCACTCTGCTAGCTGAGCGATCCTCATCGAGCGAATGACGGTCGTATGATAACAGACGTTCAACACGTGAATCGAAAATCCCAGGGAGGACAACGACACCTGATTCGTTAAGGTTGCTCAAAAGCTGTGGAAGCTCCTGATAAAAGTTGCCTTGGATCGAGTCACGGTGATGTTGCAAATTAGCTGAGCCTCTCCTCGCCATGCCTGTGGATTCTTGATAAACCCCGAAGCTGTACTGCACCCAGTCGGCTGTTCATCCGGAACCAAACCAGCAGCGTGGCCTCCGTTCTTTCGCTTAGTGTTATGCCTACACCAGCCAAACCCACTGAGGCTGCTTCTGGGTCTCCAGAAAGACGCAGGTGTCGTCTGGCTCTTTGATTAGTGTAGGATGTCAGCGTAAGCACAGTGCTTGGGTCCTGCAATCGAGTTTCGGAACTGCAGCAGAGGTCAGCATCGAGAGACTCCAGGGTGCGCGCTAGACCGATTTGATGTCCAATCTGCATGGGTGGCCGTACGTCGAAGCACACTAGGCGGAAAGAGAATCTGGGTCGATGGACGGTCACAGACAGAACTCTATAGTTCGCGGTACAACCAAAATCGCAGGCAGATTCATGCACACAGGAATCAGGTAACGAATAACAAGGATTGTTAGTAAATAAACAAGTGGCGTGTGATGAAGTCGCGTAAGCGTAAGAAGCAGAAACGGTAGCAGATGAGCATAGCACAGAACAGCTGATGATTTTTGCCACAGGGTGTGATACTACCCGGTTGCACAAGGCGAAATAAGGAGTTGACTTAAAGAGCACCACCCACTAGAGCTAAATAGCCTGTCCGCAAGGCAGCGGGAAAAATCAGGGAATCGCGCCGAATGGTCGTCTGATAAATATTTACCCCAGAAAATCATCGTCTGTTGTTCGATCAGTGGCAACTGTATGCTTTAACAACAGTATAGCGAACATAATAGTTTGCCATAAGAAGAGGTGAAACGTTGGCCAGTTGATGGGAGCTACAAGATACAGTGTCCAAGCTTGCGAAGAATACCATCAACCCTCCGATGTAAACTGCAGATAGAGACATGGGGAAACAGAATCGTGGTGGACGAATTCGACGTACCAATAACTCTATGGGCGGTCGGCCGACCAGTTTTCCAGACTCTTGGGACCAAAAGAGGGGAACAGAGCCGCGTAATTGCACGTATGAAGAGCAACGACTGTTGTGCAATTGGATGTGCGATGCGTCATGAACAATTTGTTCAGTTTCCACCTGGAGAGTGAAACAGTAATTCAGTGGTGATGGTCAGAGATGCGAGTTCATGAGAGGATCACTTAGAAACGGAATCAGTTAGACAGTAGAACAGATCAAGAATAAAAACGCATATCATGCGAAGCGTTCATAACAGATTAAGACAAGCTTGATGCCTAACGGTCAATTATCAATTGTAATAAGGTTCACCTCCATGGCGAGAAACTATAAACCTCAGTAGGCAAAACGTCTTCAGTATGCGCGAACGCTTGTCGAAACATCACCGAGGAGTTATCTTTAGTCGCGACGCATGCATAATACGGAACACAAGCCTGTGCTTCCCATGAACGAAGAGGTGATGGGTACCCAGGATAACATAGGCCAAAAATAAAGGAAATACAAGAACACAGAGGATATGAGCGATAAAAAAGCTGATAGAAGGGAGCATAACGAAGTGAGCAAGCAAATGGCACAGCGCAGAGGAATGAAAGTATGCTAAGATGCAAAAGATAAGCATGTTTCAGAGATAAATTCATTGGTGTACAGGCAAACAAGTCATTTGAAAGCAGGACAACGAAGTAACGCCACATTCTTATTATTATTATCATTATCATTAATTGTACTAGTATTTCACTACCCGCATCAGTAACACTGATAGCATCAGTGGTCTGGGCCGATGCTCCGCTGTCATACAACCGCCAACTAAGAAACACTGTACATACATAAATTGGAAAGAGACCCGTGGTAAAACCCAAATACCATAAGCAAAGTCTCAAGATGAAAACACCTACAACTTGAAAAGCGTGACCATAAAAAGCCAGCTATCACATGAAGACAATGCGATATCAGGTTTTCCACTCCCGCGTCATAAGCAAAGTGAGTCTACAGATGATTCAGTGCCGTACACACTTTAAACAGACATTCCAGCAAACATATGATAGCAAACGTGCTTGCGGTGCTGACCGCAAGCCAGGATCTGCCAACTTTTAAGTCAAACACAAGGTGGATCACATTGACCACGACCTGAAGGGCCGGAGAAGACAACAGTACTCAGCCCCAATTGCGCAGCGACTGCATTTCCCACTGCCTGATAAATGATCGCTCTCAGTGAGTCTAACACCATTCCACGTCGATGATTGATGAGTTTACATACGTAGCATTTGATCTGATTAATATTGTCTGGTACTCTTCTGTGCATCTGACCGCTGGCAACCCACACCAGAAATGATTGGCACATAAAGATGTAAATATCTGAGGGCGATAGAGACGTTCAAACTGTAGGATCAAGATACCAATGCCATAGACGAGAAGGTTCATCACTGTGGCCATTAAATTCGATGAAAATTCGCTTCTGGCACCATTCTTATGCGAGCAACAGTCCAAGAACTCGCACTACGCAAAGACTACGGTATGTATGAGCTCGTGATTGACGTTGCAACTGCAAAGATAAGTGAAATGACCCACGGTACTTCAGCTTCTCGCCAGCAAGAATCACAGAAAACGCAAATAAGCGGTCAGTGGTACTTCAGCACATTTTGCTCTTTGGAGATGCGAACACGCTGCCAAAGCGTGGTGCGTTAAGAGTATGCGCCACTTCATCAGCAGCCACTCATGAGGGATAAAAGGGTATTTCGGACTAGAATGGATCCGAAATGGACTTTACACAAGGGGAAGCCCGGAGACCACGGATGAAGTTGTAGCCAGGAGAAACGCCGAAACAGCGCTCCACAAAAAAAACAAAAAGCAAAAGCCCACCATGCGACCTCCACGAAGACGTTCAGACGTGTTGCATCGTGGGTGTATGAACCTTATGTACAGTGTAGATGAGCGCTGTCACTGCAGACAAGTCCGTGCACCCCTTGGACTCATGCAGCGGATAGCGTGACTAGAATAGGATCTAGGGGATAGGTTCAGTGTGTAGCACCACGCGGAAACAAATAGAGGCAGAAGCAGTAACTAATGTGTCCGCTTATAAGTAATGAAAACGATAACCTACAAAGAACGAGATCGGTGAGGAAGAAAGTCAACAATTGATAAGATCGGAATGAGTGCACATGAGTACAAATTTCGCCAAAAGGGGTCCTCAACCAAAGCATCTGGCACAAAAAATAACCAACGGCAACTTAGCAACGGTGAGATGGGTTATGTTCATACAACCGTCGCAACGCGAATGGGCCTCAAGGTAGTGCGACAGTTTGCGTACCTCGTCGGCCCATTGACCTATAATAGGTGTGCCCCCGGCCCCTTGAGAGCTACTTATACCAGGTTGGTCAATGGCTAGAGTTCAGACAAACTCAATCTCCTAGTCCTCCGGGTTGGGGTACGAAATGGGATGGCACCCAATTTTGTAAAACTAAATCACTGCCACGTCCCCGCTGCACTGCGGACAGGCTTTTGAGCCAAAGGCTCTGTTGAGGACCCTAATCGCCCCGCTTGTTCTCTCGCTATTGGTTACAAGTATCCAGGGACGCGGACATAGTAACCACTAGTCAACAATGGGTGGGCATCGTTTTCAGCTCCAAACTAAGTATTAGGCGGCTGTAACGAAAGAACTCTGGGACACGGTTTGGAGACGAGAAGTGGGCGTACAGTAAGTCGCGCGGAAAGTTGAGAAAAACGGTCCGTCCTCACGATAGGGGATGCTACGCAGCCGGTGGGAGAACAAACACAGCTGAGCAGTGGAGATGGCTAGCAGATTTGAATCCGTCTAGACAAGTGACGTGAGTCAGACCAGAAACGCAAGCCGCGCCATGTTTCTAAGACAATTCGGTCTGGCAGGACTCAGTCTTCTGTTTTTTCCGGCTGGGTTGGCGGCGCAGATGGAAGAGGCAAGGGCAGCGTTACAACATTAAGCCATCGTTGATTGAAAGGATTTCCGTGAGCAAGTCGACTGGCGACATCATCTAAGGTTGGTTCACGAAGTAGTACAAAACGCTGTTTGTTTGTGATTTCCGCTTATGCCCCACCGAATACAGCTCTGATGCCGCCAAGGACGCCTTCTAGCACGAACTAAACATGCTGCTACGTAGTGCTACCAATCCAGATATCATAGTACTTGCAAAGCATATGAATGCACAAGGTCGCACAAGGCTCTTCAGGAGCTCAGCTAGGTGGCTAATATGGACCTAACTCCGAAAGCACTGACAACGAAAGCGTCTGTTTTAATTGTATGCGGAGCACTAGGTGTTTCTTTGCAGCACCGCTTTCAGACACATTGGGCGCCGAAATGCCACTTGGCATCCCTCAATAGCTGAACAGCAGTGGACCCAAATAGATCCCATTGCCTTAAGTTACAGGTGGCGTGGTCCCATCTTGGATTGCCGCGCGTTCTGGAATACCTGCGTGGACTCTGATCATGCTTTGGTGCTACGTGGTTTTTCCATGAACTTTACCGGGAGGCGTACCAAGGCGTCTACCTCGATTGGCAACTGAGAAGTTATCGCAGTAATCCGGTCAAGCAAACCAACAAGGATACGCTGCTTATCGGACTTCCTCTCTTTCGTCCTAATGACACTAAACTTCAGTTGAATAGGATCGCCGTGTACGATGCAGGAGCGTCTGCTTGTGGTACTATCAATCGTCACCGCACCAGCACTGGATAGACCAAAGGTCGGTGGAACATTAGGAATTCAGAAGAAAACTTCCGGACTATTAGATGCGAACTAAAGTGAAGCCTGTGTGCTGATTGAAACCGTTACTTTGCTGTGCTCGTACATTGAGAAACAAAATATAAGCATTGGTATACCAAGTAACGAACTGAAAGTAAATGGTACTCAGATGTACCTAAAACGTTCGACTCCGATTCGAAAACTAGTTATACAGACAGGTCTATGGCGTATAAATGGGATCTCCGCTTGGTCCACTGCTAGCAGATGTCTTTATGAGAATGCTAGCAGGCGGTTCACTAAAACAGGTTATTGAAGGTCTGAAATTCTACAGGCGTTGTGAGGACGATATATTTTGTTTGGGCAATCAAATCGCAGCAGGTAGTCAATAGCTACAACAAAATCCACCCGAATGCCATATTTAAGGCTGAGGATAAATTTTGAGACGCAAACCCCGTCAGAAGGAACGACGCGTCAATCCAAGTAAAAGTATTCAAGAAACCATAATGGATAAGGCAATACACGAATTTTCACAGCTTCGTCCCACCCAGCCACAAAAGGAAGTTGGTACAAACCTTAACTGCTCGGGCATACGAAATTTGCGACAAAGACACCAATTGAACCGAACTCAAAGGAATTAGAGACACTTCTGGAGACCGGCTATCCATACCGTTTTATCGAAGCCCACATGAGGAGTATACCAAAAGTGCCGACACACGATCGAAATGAAAAAACTTTTCATAACTCTTCCATTCAAAGGAAATAGTGTAGCTGTGGTGTGCATATGTAGACTAAAGTAGAGTTGCAAAGGTACCTTTAATGCGCCCCGGCTAAAAGTGGCCTTCACGAGAAGGCGCTTACTTGCACCACGGTTCAAAGACTGAGTGTCTGATCATCTCCAATCCATGTTAATCTAAAGATTCGCAGGCCCAAGTGGGACTAAGTACGTTGGTCGCACGATCAGACATTTAGGTAAGAGAAGCAAGGAACTCCCTTCAAGCTGGGTCTTCAATCAGGAGATGTGATCAAGTAACAACGCGATTACAAACCGCCCAATCAACTCCGGTCACCAGATCAACAAACATAGTGCCTTCCAGATTCTATATAGATTCCCGCCTATGCATAGCCATCGAGTAAGGGTAAGCCTACTTGCTAATGCGGAAGCAGTACACATACGGCTTACAAGTTCCGACCTGTGCGTTCAGAAGAATACGATACAGAGATTGCAGCTGCCATTGCCGAATATCAGACGGTAAGGAAATAACTGCACGCCGCAAGACCACCGGACTTCGATCATGTGAGTAGATGATTGACATCATGATCACAAGTTAAATAGCCTGATCACTTGATTCCTTGTTATACGGACGATCACAACAAACCTTATCCTATCGTATATTGATGAAATGTTCGAAAGCAGTTGTCTGCTTGAAGCATTGTGTTTCTCTTTCTCTTTCTGAGCTTTAGGTAGTCAGTTGCACACGATAAGCGCAAGAGATAGTTTATAACGTCGGATGAGTCCGATTCCAGTTGGCTGAATCCTCGTGTATAAGAGAGATGGATAACGATCTTCTGGGAGAACTGTTGTTCGAGTCTCAGTTTCCATCGGTATAGGAGAGAAAAGTTAGCACAAGTGAAACAGCCTTCGATTACGGCAAAGGACGACTCACCTCATTGGCAACATCACCGACTAGATTGATTCCGCGCTTCAAAAACCGAGTGCCTGCATAACGTCGGCTACGCCGACCAATCAGGGTGAGGTAAAATGGCGCTCCGCAAGCGGAAAGAGCAGCCTGTAAAACGATTCCGTTGTAGAGTGGTATGAACCAATCCGGTTGCAGATCACTGTCGCTTAGTGGATCCTGGTGCGTAGGCCGAAAGTGTGGTGGGATCAAACGCCAATTCCATACGAAACGGTCGTTCGGTACGGGTTTTACAGTGCGCACTGTGTTTGAACTCGAGCAAGTGTTCGAAGACACCTAGAGGTAAGCAAGGATGAGATGGAATAAAGAAGGGAGGGGTACAATTAGCAAGTTGTTTCAAATGTAAAAGCCCTTGCAAAGCGAACAGCATTGATTTGGTAAACCATTCCCCATGGAGGTGCACTTAAGACTAAGTGGATATCGAGGCTGTGGTCAAAGTTGCGCCGAAAGAAAATGCAACCGGATGTACAACAGGGAGTGATGTCTCATATTCACATCAACAGGTGAATGCTAGGTGTAACACGGTCACAATACTGCGCGCCATGAACGGTTTTGTACCTAATGCCACTGGTCAGGAAGTGGTAGCAGAGCTGTTCCAAGCGTGTGTGTGTGTGTGCAAATAGATACGAAAACAGTCGTAGAGTGTTGTCTTGCAAGCGCGCAACACTTAACATTCGTCTGCCTCCAATACGGACCCACTGACTGAATTGGTTGAGATTTACTTCCAAGTGAGTACTGACTCACAGATTGAGATTGCGCGCTAAAATTCATTCACATGAGTGATTCAAAATGGTCGGCGTGCCAACAGACGCTTAGTAGACACATTCGACAAGTTCTAGGCCAGATGAAACTGCTGAAGTGGCACGTGAAAACAACATAGAGAGTCCAAAGGCAAATGCCACAGGAATCAGTCGGTCGTCAATATGTGTGAGCAGATGCTGGGTGCATAAACCGGGTGACCAATTCACAGATCACTTGAAAATCATTTTAGAGTTGTGCGAATTGTTCCGAAATATTTCGTATTCAGCGAGTTATCGCTTCAAATCAAAACCTACAGTCACCCTCAAGGTGTCAGAATAAATTAATTGAGCCGCCTCCTTACCGTGTGACGCACATAGTATGTAGCACACGTTTCTGGGCACTTATGAACACGTGCGGAAGGTATGACCGGACCTGCTTCGCTAGACCATCTCACCTCGTTGAGAATATAGCAATCCAATTGCAGTAGATCAACATGTGCCTGATGTACAGACCCACAGCGTGCTAGATGCTCAAATCTCAGAGTAAATAGCGTCTTATACAAAACGAAACGGATAAACGGTTGAAAAATCCGTTGCAAGAAGTACACATGTGAAAGAACAGTGTCACAGTGTCAAATGTCATATTCTCGTGATGACCTGTTGCCGGTTGCAAAAAGGCTCCCCGAGTATCTACCCATAGGTATTGTAAAAATTTTGGTTAAGGTTTAGCGTTTAGACCCCAATGAGACAAATAAGTAGGGATCGGTACATCGTTTAAACCGCTTTGCCTTCCTGTACACACCGATTGAAGTCATGGGTTGGCTAGCCGAACAATCTCCACGTGGTGCCCGTTGGGTGGTTCGGGTTAATCTCGCATTAACTACCAGTTCGGCGGCAGTGTTTCAGGACGTGGTGGGTTTTCGCCTGGCAAGTGTTCTCCTTGGAAAAAGCCACAAATGTCTGCTTAAGAACACTGTGATGTGGCGGATGTGACTCGCCACTAAATAAAGTCACTGCCCAAGGTTAAGCTGACAAGCTTATCAAAATCACAGAAGTCAAACAATTCTTCAGACATCGGTGACGCGATCGAACTCATTCAAACGAACAGTAACACATCGATAAACACAAGCCACACACCTACCTGCATACCGACATTTATGGATCCACATATATAAAAATCCTATAATACTATTGAACATTTCTTGATCAATTGTTGTACTATTACTATGATTATGCCTTTAATGGCGTACCTCGCGTAGCCGAGAATAAAAATTTATTCATCAGTTTGCTTGAGAATAAGAGCTGGAAAGTCAGCGCGCAGTTTAACAGCAAAATGGTGGAAAGAAACAGCAGTGTAATCGAGAGCGGAAGGACCAGACACTCAAGAACCCGGCATACCGGTACACAGACAAACAGACTTCCAAGCTCGCGTGCAAGGAGTGAAGAGGGTTGTTCACAAGCCAAAACATAGAGCAGTAGTAATAGTAAGAATAATAGCAATATATTCGAGGTACACAAGTGCTTCGGATTCATGTCTAAATAGTATGTGACCGCAAGCAGTCGCACACAGGCTGGGTTACTGACAAGACGCTCAAACTCTTGGCTGTACATTGTACTATAGTCGGATACCAGTCGATTTCAGTAAGCCCCATTGTATCCTACATCTCGATGACATCCCCATGATAAAACCCCTGCCCAAATCGCGAATACTTTGAAGCACACGTGGTAGAGCCGGGTCAGAAACGAGTTCCCATCCTCTGTGCTTCGAACGGAGAGTAGGCAATCTTTGGAACAATCTACTGGGGGTATCTAATGGAAGAAAACGGGATATGTGAACTACAAGCCGCCAGTAACATCCGCAAACAACGGCCGTAGCAATTCAAAACATGGTTGGATGTAGATTTCTCCACTATTCAGATTCAGAGGGCGACTGCCGAATGACAATGACAACTCACATGTGTGAGTCCACAGCAACTATGAAGCATACGCTATTATGTGATATCAGAAAGGCGCTTGAAAAAAGAGTGGAATATTGATAAATGAAGGTTAGTATTTTAAAAGTTTTGGGTTACATTTTGATGCAGATATACAGATTTACAACTCGACTTAGTCCTATATCCAGTATTTAAATACCAGGCCCACTACACAAAAGGCTCTCAGGCCTACAATACCACGGCTCCACGCGTACAGAACTTGGCTCGTTCATCATCAACAGATGTACATCAGCCATTTGAACTGATGCTTCGCTGCCATGCAACCATGATGACCTATGAAATGAAGAAAAATCAGAGTGAGAGAAGGGGAGCTTAGCAGAGGAGGTAAACGCCGTAAGCAAACATTCATGGGCAATGCGCATACACCTCGTGTACACAAAATACTGTCAAAAGCAGCTAACTATCGTGCAAAGATAAGGCGGCATCGGCGAGACAGCTTCCTTGCGGCTTTCACTGCCACGCGTCATAATCAGCCATCACCCCGCAGATAACCCAGTACCAAACGCACTTTAAACGGGCAATCCAATTAGGAGACGGCAGCAGACGCGCCACTGGTGTCGGTTGAGAGCCATGTCCTGTAAAGTCTCGAGCCAAGCACAAGGCGAGTCACGTGGACTTCAGCCCGGAAGGCGAGAAGGACCAACGGCACCCAGTTTAGTCGTCAGTGACTTCATTTCCCGCTACCAAGTCAACTTCTGTCCACCTCGAGCATTGCGCCACTCTACACCTGGCAGACTAAACAAGGCCCTCCTAGGTAAGCGGTGACCAGGCATACGTAGCACGTGCCCGAGCCAACGCAACGTATTCAGTGCTATCTGTTGTTCTACGGAGCTAGCATGATTATCACTACCTAGTACTCGCCTAAACACACCATCGTTGCGGACACGCTGGTGCCATCCGACACTAACAATTCTTCGCAGACAACGATGATCAAAGACTTGAAGGCGCCTCAGATCTTCAGACCGAAGGAGTTAAGTATCACTACCATAGAGCAGAACGGCCCTCACTGTGGCCTTGTACACCCGGCCTTTCAGACGGAGGGAAACTCCCTTCTGTCGCCAAAGATGCCGCAGGTTCAAGAAGGTAACTCTGGCTTTTGCAATGTGTGAGCTGACCTCAGTTTCTATGCGTCCATCGGTGCTGATGCAGCGGCGAAGATGAGTAAATTGGTCAGGCACCTCGTTCTCAGGAGTCAAGGGATCATCAAGGGGCTGGTGGTCCTGCAGTAACTTTCAACTTTGAAGGTGCGAAGTGCATACCAAATAATGAGACCACTTTAGACAGGCTATTCAGGATTGATTGTGCCACCGCAACATCTTCGAAAAGCAAGAGGATATCATCCGCATAATCAAGATCAACTAACCTTTCTCCAGCCGGGAACTCAACGCCTACATCGTGAGATTCGACAAGGGTACATTCCATGATAAAATCCATGACGAAATTGAACAAACCCGGAGAAATTGGGCAATCCTGACGAACGTCACTGGTGGTCGGAAAGCTATCCGATAGGCCACCGTAGACCCTGACGCAGCTTGTGGTGTACGAGTATAGAGCACAAAGGATGTCCACATCTTTCGTGGGAACACCTTTCCACGCAAATATTTCGAAAAGAAGACATCGATCAAATGAATCGATCGCGCTCTTGAAATCGAGGAACACAGCTATTGTCGGTCTGCGGTATGCGTGGCACTGCTCTAGCACCTGCCGCAGAGTGAATATATGGTCTATACAGTCATTCCCGGGCGGAAACCGGCCTGCTCTTCCCTAATCCGAGATTCCCGTTCCATAGTGAAGCAAGGAAGGAAAATCGAGGCCAGTAATTTTGTCACAACTGGCGTTAGGCTAATACCCCTGTGGTTAGAACAGTCTGTGCGACTGCCACTCTTGTATATTACCACTACAATCGATTCGTTCCAATTAGCCGAGACGCTCTCTTCTTTCCAGACACATTCGAATAAGGTCAGTGCTTTGCAGAGGACCTCACCTCCATCCTTAAATAGTGCAGGTGGGAGGGAATCCGGGCCAAAGGCACGAAAACGATTGAGGACTGTGATCGCGTTTCGGTCCTCGGCCTCCGACGGAGGCTCTAAACTAACTGACCATGGCTCGTCCTGCATCACCTAAGTAGGAAGAGGTCCGGGAGCGAACAAACAGTATTCAGTAACATTCTGTAGGGTACCTAGAACGGAAAAACGCCTCAGCCGTTGAGTCGTGATACAACGCAGATGACAGCAAAAGAAAAAATAGAATGAAAATATTGTGCGACACTTTTGCTTATGAAATGGGGATGAGATCGCGTTTGCAGGAGCTGACTAGGCAGGATGAGGAGGGGCAATAAATCACAACGCAAACAGCACTGAGGTCGGTTTTTGGCTACAGAAATAAGAATAACCAACCAAATGTGTTAATCGTATTTTAAACGCGCTCGCCTAAATGTGGTAAAGGAGTCATCTCTCATGTTAACACCTGCGTAGCAACACAAAAGTAAGAACGTTTTGTATAAACAGGTTCTTAAGTCAGAATGCCCCAAGTGACTGGTGAG